TTCTAATTCCTTTTGTCAATTCCAAATTTCATGACTTTATGGGGGGCAGAGGAGGAACTAAAAATCTTAGAAGACATTTTTCCACTCCCTTTCAAAAAGCAGAGAAACCAAGACCTTCCAGAGGGGAGCTCTACCAGCAGTTGAGGTTATGTGTGAGTTGTATTTAAATATAAATCTGACCTCTGGTAAGCACAGCAGAACTGCCACTTTAAGAGCTGGCCCTGCCCTTTATGGAAGAGGTGTGTTTTGCTTCAGAGCATTAAAGACAAGTATAATTTTAGCAGTCAACAAATAAGAAACATAAACAAGCTCTGGTATGAGTCACCAGGAGGGAGGGACAGCATGGTGGCTGGTTGTGTAACGGGGTACGAGGACCAGGATGGTTTTAAAATATTCTGCCCCTAGAATATAAAATGGTGCGGCTGCTGTGGAAAAACAGGCAGTTCCTCAAAAAAGTAAAAATAGAATTATTATATGATCCAGCAATTCCACTTCTAGGTATATACCCCCCCAAATGTTAATGCAGGGACTCAAACAGATGTTTGCACATGCATGTTCATAGCAGCATCATTCACAATAGCCAAAAGGTGGAACTAACTCAGGTGTCCATGGGCAAATGAATGGATTAACAAAACGGGGTACATACATACAATGGAATATTATTCAGCCTCAAAAAGGATGGAAATTTTGACACATGCTGCAATATGGATGAACCTTGAGGATATTATGCTAAATGAAATAAGCAAGACACAAAAGACAAATACTGTATAATCCCACTTATACGAGGTACCTAGAAGAGTCAAATTCATAGGGACAGAAAGTGCAATGGTGCATAGTGGAGGCTGGGGGAGGGAGAAATGGGGAATTACTGTTTACTGCGTGTGGAGTTTCAGTTTGGAATGATGAAAAAGTTTCAGAGATGGGTAGTGGCGACGGTGGCAAAACAATGCGACTATATTAAAAGCCATTGAATCGTACACTTAAAAATGACTAACATGATGCATTTTATATTATACACGTTTTACCACAACAAAAAAATTGAGAAAATCCTGCTCCTCATCCTATCTACATGATCTGTCACTTCACGAACCCTAGAGGAAAACCAGGACATCATGGACAAAGCCAAATCAGCCTCAGGGCCTCGGTCCCGTCACCTGTGCTGTGGAAGGGCTGGTGGGACGTCCGCACTTCCGGGCTGTGTCAGCAGAGGCGAGATTTGAGGGAAGTAACCCTTTTGGAAACTAGTGTGCCCAGGGCTATATAAATGAACATTGACACCTAATACCTTTTGAGACTCTACTACAGGTCAGCAATTCAATTTCTTTATTTAAAAATGTAAATTTTTTTTAAACTATCAAATATTTCAAACATACAGAAAATCCCCTGAGACCTTAACACTCTTTCTTAAATTTGTATCCCCAGAGCCTAGAACAGCGTCTGTCAAATAGTAGAAAGCCAATGAATGTTTTTGGAGTGAATGAATGACTTCTTATTTGAGTTAACAGATAAATGTGAGTTTTTCTATGGTCGGTCCTATAAGCGGAGTTGCTTCAACTCTACTAAGCATTGCCAACAGCCCACCGATGTACACTGCTACCAGAACCTATGCAGGGTTTGTGTTTTCCTCATCCATGCTGACATTTGCTACTGCCACGCTTTATTTTTGCCATCTCATGGATATTAGTAGTATATCATTGTTTTATTTTGAACTTTCTTGATTATTTAGTGAGGTTGGGCATATTTCCCTAGGCTTTTCTTATGACTTGCCTATTCATATCATTTGCTGATTTTTCTGCTGGGTTGTCTTTTTCATATATGTTTTGGCTACTAACCCTTTGTTAATGTTTTGCAAATATATTCTTCTTGTCATCGGCTTATGTTTTTTCTTCGTTGTATGTTTTTGACCAGAAAATTTAATTTTTATGTCTTCATATTTATCAATCTCTTCCATTATGGTTTGTCTTTTATGTGCCTTGTTTAAGAAAACCTTTCCTACCTTGGATTGATATAGAAAATCTCTTTAAAATTTTTTTATACTTATTGATTTTATTTATTTATTTATTTAAAGATTGTATTTATTTATTCTCAGGGGGGAAGGGAAGGAGAAAGAGAAGAGAAACATCCATGTGCTGTTGCCTTTCACACGCCCCCTGCTGGGGACCTGGCCAGCAACACAGGCATGTGTCCCAACGGGGAGTCACCAGCGACCCCTTGGTTCACAGACCGGCATGCAATCTACTGAGTCACACTGTCCAGGGAAAATTTATTGATTGGGGGGACCGGGAGAGATTTGTTGTTACACTTATTTATGCATTCACTGGTTGATTTTTTTTGTATGTGCCCTGACTAGGGACCAAACCCACAACCTTGCTGTATCAGGACAACACTCTAACCAACTGAGCTACCCAACCAGGGCCAAATAATCTTTTTTAAGTAAGTTTTTTTAGTTAATTTTTTCACTTGGGAATAATTTTAAACTTACAAAAATTTGCAAAAAGAAATACTACAAAGAACACTCACATACCCTTTACCCAGATTCAGTTAGTATTAACATTTTTCTCCATTTGTTATCACTTTAAATGTATAATATATGCAACATATATTTTTCTGAACCATTTGAAGGAAGGTTACGTACATTATGGTGCTCTACAGTTAAACACTTCAGTGTATATTTTCTATAAATAGGGATATTCTCTAACAATTACAGTACAGTTATCAACTTCATAAATTTACATTGATAAAATACTTTTCATATCCCAGTTTTGTCAGTCGACAAATTGGATGTTGATGTTCTTCATAGCAATTTCATAATCTTAGAAATCCTGTACCCCTATAGCAGTTATCACAACCCTATTGTAGATCCAAACTAGGGTTATGTATTACATTGAATTGCCATGTCTTTTTAGCTTCCTTTAATCTGGATTTGTCTTTTATGATATTGATATTTTTGAAGAACGTAGTCCCCACCCTCTTTTTTAGTAGAATGGCCCTCATTTTGTGTTTATCTGAGGTTTCCTCGTGATTAGACTGATGAAATGCACTTTCAGCTAGAACGCTGCAAAGATGCAGAGTTGTGAAGAATTGCATCTCTGTAGTATTATGTAAATGTAGTTTTGTGTCTTTCTCAGTGTATCACATCTGGAGGCATATGATATCTATCTGTCCCTCATTGGTTGATTTTGATCACCTGGTCAAAGTTTGCCCAATTTCTGCTTTTTTTTCCCTTCTCCCACCTCATAAGCAATTTGTAGGGAGACACTGTAAGACCTGCCTTTGTCCTGCTCCTCATCAGAATTTCTCCCCAGTTCTAGCATCCACTGATGATTCTTGTCTGATCAAATCCTTGCCATGATGATTGAAAACTGATTCACTTAAAAGCTTTTTTGTTTTTATGTATGTTTTTTAATGTGAAATTGATTTCATATAGTGTGAAATGGAGATCTAATCCTATCTCCCCCTGCCTCCCAATGTGGCAAACCAATCAGCTCCATTTGTGGAATAACTCATTCTTTTCCCACTAGTCCATTTCTTCATACATCGTATTTATTTTTTAAAAAAAGATTTTATTTATTTATTTTTAGAGAGAGGGGAAGGAAGGGAGAAAGAGAGGGAAAGAAACATCAGTGTGTGGTTGACTCTCATGTGCCTCCAACTGGGGACCTGGTCCACAACCCAGGCATGTGCCCTGACTGGGAATCGAAATGGTGACTCTTCGGTTCTCAGGCCGGCACTCAACCCACTGAGTCACACCAGCCAAGGCTCTTTCTTTTGCGGGGAGGGGGGGGCTGGCTTTTTTTTCCCCCCAGCGTTTTCTATTCTGTCCCATTAGTCTATTTGTTTATCTCTGAACCAATAGTATAGTGTCTTAATTATTATAACTTTGTAATAAATTTTTATATATGATAGGGCAAGTAATCCATCATATTTTTCTTTAAAATTGTCTTACTTATTTTTGTCACCTAGGCAATTGTATTCATTGTCACACAAACCTCCAAGAGATTAAGAAATTTTTCCAGGGTCACAAAGTCAGGAAACAGGAATTTTTACCTAAATCTGCCCAAGACCAGAGCTCTTTCCATTAACTCCTGGGGTTCTGCCTTCCCAAGGCCAAACTAAGTTTCCTAGGCATGGAGATGTGGTTGTCATAGAATCAGGTGTGGGCAGGCAAGAGAAGATAGGCAGGTAGGCTAGTTCAGCCTTGGTCTCTGGGGTATATAGACTTTGCCAGCCAGTGGATGGGGCTTGGATTTGGCTGGCAAAACTGGGAAAAGACGATTGGAGCCAACGGAACTCAGAGAACTCCCACCCCAGGACTGAGCACCCACAGGTGTCCAGGGGCACAATCTTGTCACTTTTCAGGCTGAGCAGGCTAGTGTGGCGGCAGCAGCCTGAAAGGAAGACCTGCAGCTTCTTTTACCGTGGGGGTCTTAAGAGACGTGGTGAGCCGGGGCTGGCTGCCTGGAAGCCAGGACAGGTACTGCCCCAGGGAGCTGCATCCTCCACCAGCTCCTCCCTGCCTGATTAGGGGGCCTTAATCAGCTTAGATAGATTAAGGGCTCCCACCAGCTGTTCCCACATCCCCGCCTTGGGCCGGCAAAGGAGACCTGTGGGAGGGCGTGTGGCCCCTCACCCCGGCCCTGGGCCGAGTGGTACTTTCAGGTGAGTGGCAAAGGGCCCTCCACATAGACTCGGGCTCCTTCTCCCCACCGGTGCCTCTAAGGACAGCATGGTCCTGTCCCCTCTGCCCCTCCTGCGGCTCTGATGAGGGGGGAGGGGTGGACAAGGGGGAACAGGAAGCCGAAGGGGAGGGGATGTGGTGGGCTTTTAGGCCATGCCCTTGACCTCCATCATGTCTTTCGAGCCTGAGGAGGGGCAGTGGAGATACACCACAGATTCACTGGGTTTGAAGCAAATGGGGGCTGTGGAGAAAGCCCTAAGAGACCTCTGGGGCGGGGATCTCATCGTTCCCCCTGCTCTGCTGATGCTCGCAGAAGCCGGCAATGACCGCTCGCGCCGTCCTCGCGGATGGCCTTCGCGACCTCCGGTTCTGCGCCCCGGCGCGATGGGCTCCATCCCCTCCCGGGCTCCCGCGGGTGCTGCCCTGGCCCCAGCCTCAGCTCCTGTTGCTGCCGCTGCTGCTGCTGCTGCTGCTGCTGCTCCTCCTGCCGCCGTCAGCACTCCCCGAGGTGTTCACAGTAGGGGTACTAGGCCCCTGGGCCTGCGACCCCATCTTCGCTCGTGCCCGCCCGGACCTGGCTGTCCGCCTGGCCGCCCACCGCCTGAGCCACGGCCCAGCCCAGGAAGGCGGCCCCCGCTTCGAGGTCGTGCTGCTGTCGGAGCCGTGCCGGACGCCGGGCTCGCTGGGGGCGGTGTCCTCCGCGCTGGCCCGCGTCTCGGGTCTCGTGGGTCCCGTGAACCCTGCAGCCTGTCGGCCGGCCGAGCTCCTGGCTCAGGAGGCGGGGGTCGTGCTGGTGCCCTGGGGCTGCCCGGAGACGCGGGCAGCGGGCACGACGACCCCCGCAGTGACGCCAGCGGCGGACGCCCTCTACGCCCTCCTTCGCGAGTTCCGCTGGGCACGCGTGGCCCTGATCACCGCCCCCCAGGACCTGTGGGTGGAGGCGGGACGCTCACTAGCCACGGCACTCAGGGCCCGGGGTCTGCCAGTTGCCCTGATGACCACCATGGAGCCCTCGGACCGGTCTGGAGCCCGAGAGGCCCTGAGGAGGGTCCAGGACGGGCCCAGAGTCCGAGGTAGGCTCCCCGCAGGGGCGGGGGGGTTGGCAGCCCCCCAGGCCGCGGGTGAGTCAGTGGCAGAGTCTCTGTGTCCACAGCAGTGATCATGGTGATGCACTCGGTGCTGCTGGGCGGCGAGGAGCAACGCTGCCTGCTGGAGGCTGCAGAGGAGCTGGGCCTGGCCGACGGCTCCCTGGTCTTCCTGCCCTTCGACACGCTCCACTACGCCTTGTCCCCAGGCCCAGCGGCCTTGGCGGCGCTGGTCAACAACTCGCAGCTCCGCAGGGCCCACGATGCCGTGCTCACCCTCACTCGCCGCTGTCCCCCTGGAGGCAGCGTGCTGGACAGCCTGCGCAAGGCCCAAGAGCACCAGGAGTTGCCGCCTGACCTTAACCTGCAGCAGGTAGAGAGGCCAGGGAGGAGAGAAGAGGGAAGGAGACCTGGGGAAGAAAGCAGAAGATAGCCAAAGACGGGGAAAGAGGCTGGAGGCAAAGGGAAGAGAAGTGGATACAGTCCGAAATCAGAGAAGGGTGGCGTCAATGGGAGAGAGGAGGGGGGCCATAGGGAGAGAATAATTAGCAGCTCTACCTGTTCTGGAGTTTCCTGGGTAACGTGGATGCTCTGGCCTTGCTTGCTTGGTGCATCTTAGTGTATTGAGATGCTTCAGGGAGGCTGCAGTGAGCCGTCTCCAGCCCAGCTCCAAGGGGTAAACCCTAAACTTTACACTACAACATCTCTCCCAGCACCGCCACACCATGCAGGCTGTAATGAGCAGCCGGTGTTCTTAAGGGAGCAGGAAGACGGGAGGATGCAGACCCGACCTCCGTGCCCATTTCAAGGGGGTTCCCTCTGCGGGGCTTCCTCTGATGGCTATAACGTTCTGAAAGCCTTGACATCTAGTGAGAAGCAGAAAGGTCCCTAGGTGGAGCCAGGCGTTTCAATAATCATTTAGATCCACAGTTTCTTCCCCGAAACCAGCTAATACCCAGGATTCCCTGAGAACCCAAAATCCCAGTTCAGACCATCTAGACCCACCCCATTCATAAAATGGGGGCTGGAGACCACCAAGAATAAAAGGAACTTAGATGTCAGTGGGCAGTAAATGAACCACTAAAAGGGCCCTGCACAAAGGGCTGCACATGTGAGAGGGCCACACACCACGAGGAGGGTAAACTATGCGCCGCCAAATCCGCTTGTCTCCTCCACTCGGATTTGGAGTAGCCACTGGGAAGGAAGGATGGGAATAGTCAGGAAGAGGAGAGGAGGCCCTAGGAACAGACACCAGGTGGAGGGAAGCGAGTGAGTGGGGGAAGTAGTGAAAAAACCTCTTCAGTTCTCAGTGAGTACCGGTAGCACAGCCTTCCACCTGGCCTGAGACCCCGGGGAGTCACCCTGGATCCCTCTAACCCTTTCCCCTCAACATCCAGACATCAAGTCCTGTCACTTCCTACTCCCTAAAGGCCCTTTGAATCCATCCACTTTCCCCACTCTCACTGTCACTGCCCTGGTTCAGGACACAACATCTCTGGTCCAAATCTCAAAACAAAAATCTCCCAAATGGTGTCTGTTTCAGCAGTTGCCTGCCCAGGCCTGTCTCCACCCACCGATCAGACTGAACTTCAGAAATGTGACTGTGTCACACCTCTGTTCAAAGCTCCAAGTGCCTTTGCTTGCAAGATAAATGCAGGTCTCTTCCCACAGCTCGCCAGGCCTGGCGTCTTCCTCCCTCTTCCACCTTCCTTGAGCTTCAATCAGACCAGCTACTTCGTGTTCCCTGAATCCGTACTTCTCTTTCTCCTCTGTTCTGCTGGGTGGGCTTTTCCTGCTCTCCTGCCTCCACTGTCCTCCAGATCATTCTGACTCATATCTTGAGGGATGGTCACTTCTTCTGGAAGCCTCCTCCTCCTCCCTGCCTCCACGGCTCCTTTGGTTACCTGTACCCTCACTCATTGCGCTGCCTTAACATCCTTATCTGTCTTGCCCATTAGATGAAAGATTCCCTGAGACAGGGACTCTGTCTTGTATATCGATGTATCCCTAGTGTTTTACACACTTCCTGGTGCTGTGAGAGATGGGAATTGGGAACAATAGAGAGGCTCGATGAGAACTCGGGCAATGAAAAGAAGGAAAAATGAAAAAGAGAAGCTAACCAAAGCATGGGAAAGAAGGCTTTTAGGTGAATGGTAGGTAATGATATTTAAAAATATATTCAGGACAACCAAGAGGAAAGGGAAGAGAGGATCTGTAGGTAATAGCCTTAGAATTAACCAATGGTGAGAAGAGTCTAAGAATCCTGAAAAGAGGGAAGGTCAGTGGGGCAAAAGGGTGGGATAGCCAACAGGAGAGAGGAAGAGAGAGAGACAACGAAGAGAAATATGAGGAACCACTAAGCAGGAGATGAGAACAGTCAAGGGCTTGAGGGTTTGCAGGGCCCAGTGAAGAGATGAGGGAGAGGGCAGTAAGTCCCTGTCTGTTTATGGGCCGTGACCCGGAACTCTCCTTCCCCAGGTATCCCCACTCTTCGGCACCATCTATGACGCAGTCTTCTTGTTGGCGGGGGGCGTGGCGCGAGCTTGGGCGGCGGTAGGTGGCAGATGGGTGTCCGCAGCAGCCGTGGTCCACCACGTCCAGGATGCCCAGGTCCCAGGCTTCTGTGGAACCCTGGGAGGAGCCGAGGAGCCCCCGTTTGTGCTGCTGGACACGGATGAGGCGGGGGACCAGCTGTTCACCACATACATGCTGGACCCCACCCGGGGCTCCTTCCACTCTGCTGGGACCCCAGTGCATTTCCCTAGAGGGGGCCAAGGGCCTGGGCCTGACCCCTCTTGCTGGTTCGACCCAGACATCGTCTGCAATGGAGGTGAGGGCAAACACCCAGCCTCCACTAGGGGAGTCACCAGGCACCTTTCCCCAAGTGGTGAAAGAGACTGAACTCTTCCTGTAACTCCTCCTTGAGTCCCTCTCAGGTCCTTCTCTGACCCCAGACTTGTGTAGGACCCCTCCCTGCTGAACCCCTAAAGCCCTCTTGAAACCTTTCTAGAATTCCCACATGCTCCCCCTTAGCAGCACTCATGACCTTTTTCTAGTTTCCTTTCTTGGTTCCCAACCCCCTTTCCTGGGGCCTCCAGGAGCCTCTGGGACTTGACATGACTGCACGCTTCCTTAGAACGGGCGCCTCCCCTCTGCCATGGTCCCCAGTGTCCCTCCTCTCACTGCCCCTCCAGGAGTGGACCCTGGTCTCGTCTTTATCGGCTTCCTCCTGGTGGTTGCGATGGGGCTGACGGGGGCCTTCCTGGCCCATTATGTGAGGTGAGTAGGGAAGCGAGGTAAGTAGGAGATGAGCTTGGCTCTCTGCGTGCCAGAAAGGCAACTGTACAGCAAACACAGCAAGCTGGGTCCCCTCAAGATAGAAGGCGGGGTAGGAGGTTGGAAGGGGGAAGGAGAAGGGGCCCCGGAAGGCTGGCAGAGTCCCAAGGGGATGTCTGGTTTGGGGATGGCTGCCCTCCCCTGAGCCAAGATTACCCCTTGCTGGCTTCCTCTCATGCACCTTGGTCCCCTCTCTGGAAATGACCTCCTTCCCCTACCAGGCACCGGCTACTACACATTCAAATGATCTCAGGCCCCAACAAGATCATCTTGACTCTGGACGACATCACCTTCCTCCACCCACAAGGGGGCAGTACTCAAAAGGTGGGAGAAGCTGGGAGCCAGGATCCAGCTGTCCTCCCCGTCTCTCTGGTCCCCTGCCTGGGCCAGCCCTCACCCCAGGCCCCAACTGGAAAGGAATCCTGCTCTAGCCCAGTCCCAGGCCTGAGCTCTGGCAATCAAGACCCTTATGTGTGCACTGCGGATAATGGCCCCTTTCCTGACTGCTTCGTGGGGCAATGTGATGTTCCAATAAGAAAATGAATGTTTATTTTATAAATTGTAAAGTGCTATACGCCTAGAAAGTAATGTCATTATCACCTTCCCTCGTTGTTTTCTTCCTCTCCCTCTTTAATTCCCAAAACTCTAAGAACTCATTATATCCAGGACTCTGAGTATATTTTGACCCCTTGCATTGACTCCTACCCTCCAGGTGGCCCAGGGTAGTAGTCGGTCAAGTCTGGTTGCCCACAGTGTGTCAGACATTCGCAGTGTCCCCAGCCAGCCCCCGGATAACTCCAACATTGGCCTCTATGAGGTGAGCCTGACCCCCAACTAGGCTGAGCTCTATTCTTAGAGTCGTGTCAGACCCCACAGGCTCCAGGAAATGGGGATAGGACCCCAGAAGATCTAGGGAGAGCTCATAAATTTCTCAAAGGGAACCATCTGGTAATCCTTCCTTCCCCAGGATTTTCCCCTAACGGTTATTCAGGTGAGGGCTCCTCAAAGGCTAATCACAGGGACCCAGGGGCAGGCGTCCTGCCGGCGGGGAGCATGCCCGGACCACATGCAGCCTGGTGTGGCCACTGAGACCATCCCCCACCTTGTTAGGAGGCCCTGGCCCTGCCCCTTCTGTGATAAGCCCGCTTTCCTGGTTACTGAAGGGCACAGATCTCCTTGGAAAGGTAGGGGCAGAGGAGCATCTGGGGCCTGGCTTCCCAGTCACAGAAAGGACATTTCCAAGATGGGGGTGGTTCAGGGCAGGGCGTTTCCAGACAGGGGTACCCTGACTCAAGCCAGACCCACGTTCTGGACCCAATTCCAACCAGGCTCACGAATAGCCAGTCTGAGAGGGAAAGAGAAAGTCACAAAAGGGCATGAGGACGTTAACTATGGGGTCAGCAAATCTGACAGGGGGGGACGACTGGGAGGTAATGAGAACAAATTCAGGGCGGGCTGACAGAGAGCTCAGCTACGCAGGGGTGGCGGGGAGACTTAGAGCTCCTGCGGGTCAGATCACTGAGAGGATACAGAGGCTCCTAATGTGTCACATAGAGGCCATCACAGCCATTTCTCAGAGGAGCACTATTGTCATTTTGGGCCGATTATTCTTCACTGTATGGGACTACCCTGTGTCTTGAACAATGTTTAGTGTCTCCTGTCTCTGACCTTGTTTACTAAACACAGTCCTCAGTTTTTGTGACAGTTAAAAACGTCTCCATATTTATTTCCCAGTGATTTTGGGGGGGTCAGTATCAAACCCCCAAAATTCTCTTCTCTTCCAGATCCCTTATCAACAGGTAAGGCCAGCTACTAGGTCTAGGGAAAAATAAAAATGAGAGCTTCTTGTCCATTCAAAATGACAATAGCAGATCGTTGATCTGAGCCCAGGCCCCACTGAGCCTGGGTGCCTGTGTGACTGTACCTGCCGCATGCTCAGGAACCAGCCTCGCCATCCGCTGAGGTCAATGAGGCCCAGAGCCTGGAGGGGAGCTGCCTACACTTCACAGTTAGTCTATAATAAAGCTTGATCTACCCACACTCCTGACTCCCACCACAGTGCTCTCTTGTGGCAACAAATGGTGATGAGGCTGACTGGGCTATGACTTCAATGATATTTGTTTTGGCAACAGCTTGCTTAATAGGGCTGCTGGTGAGCGCATCTGGGTTGGTGAGGACAGACATTCAGGCCCTCTGCATCTCTTACCTGGGGTGGGGGGACTCTCACCCAGCAAGCTGTGCAGTGGGCTGGTAGACATCAAACCTCTGGTTCCTGACACTCTTTGTCACATGGAAGATGTTCTGGGGCAGTGGGCCAGTGGAAATGGGGAGTCTAGGGCTCTTTGTATCATGGCGATTTAAGAAACTGAGTTCTCTACTCCCGTTTCTGCTCCAGGGAGATTGGGTGTGGCTGAAGAAATTCCCGGGAGATCAGCACACAGCTATCCGCCCAGCAACCAAGGCAGCCTTCTCCAAGGTGAGAGTTAGGCCCGTCATGGGGTGTGCGTGGCCACCATTTCTCTCTACTTGCCCTCTCTTTGCAGCTGGGTACAGAGGTAGCCCCAGTGTGGGAGAGATCAGGGGGTCTCAGTGAAGTGTCCCCTCCTCTCTAGAGCAGGTTTCCCATTATGCTCTTTCATAACACCAGTTCTTTCCTTTGATGTGCTTGTCATAATTTGTAATTGTATGTTCATCTGTGGGCTTCACTGTTTCTTATCTGTCTCCCTTACTAGACTGTAAGCTGAGTGAGGGCTTCCCCCTGCCCCCTCCATTGTATTTTCAGCAAAGCATAGTGTCTGGAACATTAGAGAGACCCAATGAATGTTTGTTGAGTGAATAATAGAAAATTTAAAGAAATGGGTTTTCAGTTCTGTCAGGTCATTCACGCAGAATGGCCTAGTGGATGCATATTGAGCAAAGTGGAAAGTTGGCAAGGAGGCTGTAGACTGGCTTATTCTGGTCCTTTCAGTTCAATTTTTTTAAAGGATTTTATTTATTTTTAGAGAGAGGGGGAGCGAGGGAGGAAGATCAGCTGCCTCTCATACATGCACCAACAGGGAGTCTGGGGGTCAAAACCCACAACCCAAGCACATGCTGTGACTGGGAATTGAACCAATGACCTTTAGCTTTGTGGTTTGACACCCAACCAACTGAGCCACACCAGTCAGGGCTGGTACTTTAACTTTTAATTCCCTCCTTTCCCCTAACACCATGAAGGCTTGGCCTGGCTTCTTTTCCTGATGTCTCCCTAGAAGCTCTTGGTTATAGCTGCAGAATGACTTAAGTGGACTATTAAGTGGTCAATGGACTAAATCACCATTTAATAGCAGGCATTTAAGACAAAACGAAGCCCTTTAGTAGACCAAAGGAAAGCTAGAAAAAGCACCAATCAACTGCTAGCCCTGTTTCCCAGCATGCCCAGCTCATGAGCGCCTCTGTCCTGCAGAGTCACTGTGACCTTGTTGGTGGCTCTCTGGGACCACAGCTTGACTACTCAGTCTACTGACTCGGGAAGGGTGGGAGTCTGGGTCTCAGCTGACATAACAATGTAACCAAGCAAAGCAGCCTTGGGCCAGCTCCCCAGCACAAGCCATTTCTGGTGTTTTCTGACAGCAGTGCAGTTTCTCCTTGGGTCTTCCCCCAAAGGCTGTGACAGCGGAAGGGGAGGGCGGTCACATCAAGGGCCTCTGCTTCACGAGGTGTTTTACTTAAGACATTGACAGTTCAAAGTCTCATGGTTATTAAACCATAATCTGCCTAGATCCTGACAACCAGTGCAAGGGTGTCTTTTCATTCATACCATTAAACAACCATATTCAGTATCTGAAGGGTAGCCTTTGAAGGTGTTTTCTTTTCCAGAGAGAGAAATTATCTGTACAAGGAAGCCGCTCCTACATGCCCTAGAGACCTTCCCGTTCACCATTTTTAGCCCATCCTCCAAGTTTAGATACTCAAAACCAGATCTGAATAACAGCCTCCCCCCTCCCGAACCCCACCCGACCCCCACCTTGCGCCCAGGGCAGGAAATGCGTGTTAACTTTCCCCCTCTCAGCTCCGGGAGCTCCGGCACGAGAACGTGGCCCTCTACCTGGGGCTCTTTCTGGCGGGAGGCGCGGACAGCGCCGCGGGCCCCGGGGAAGGCACGCTGGCTGTGGTCTCAGAGCACTGTGCCCGGGGCTCCCTCCACGACCTCCTCGCCCAGAGAGACATAAAGCTGGACTGGATGTTCAAGTCCTCCCTCCTCCTGGACCTCATCAAGGTGTGGGGGTGGAGAAGCGGGGGTGCAGGGAGGAGAGCGCGGGGGAGCCGCAGGCTGAAGCTGCCACTTACCCCACCTCCTCCAGGGAATGAGGTATCTGCACCACCGAGGTGTGGCCCACGGGCGACTTAAGTCCCGGAACTGCGTGGTGGACGGGAGGTTCGTGCTTAAAGTCACCGACCACGGCCACGGGAGACTACTGGAAGCCCAGAGAGTGTTCCCAGAGCCTCCCAGTGCGGAGGGTAGGACTCCCGGTGCCGCCGGCGCGGACGAGCAGCCCTCGGATCGCAATCCTCTCAGGGGCCCTTCCTCCCCTCCCTCATTCCCTTCATCCCACATCCCCTGGCCGTGACCTCTGCTACGGAAAAGGTCTCGTGACCTCCGAGACGAGGAGGGTGGACTGTGAAACCAGGAAGGCGGTGGCATTGTAAAGGAGCAGGCTTGTCCCTGAGAAACGGAGCTCCTGTCCTCCCAACTGTGTCTGTCCTAAGAGGGGTTTTGCCTAAGGACAGGGCTTGGGTCCAAAGGGCGTGGTCCAAAGGGCAGGGCCTGTTTGGGGGTGCTGGGCTTTTTCTGAAACCCGCTTTGGGTAGTCCCCGCTCTCGGTAGCGGTGGCCGCAGGGCCAGACTCGGGCTGGGGGCCTGGTGAGCGGGTGTGAGCCTGGCTTTTGGGCGGTGGTGTTGGGGTGTCTCTCCCCATCGTCCCCTTGGCCCTCCGCGTGCCCACGTCCTCTTTCCCGACCCCAGACCAGCTATGGACAGCCCCCGAGCTGCTTCGGGACCCAGCCCTGGAGCGCCGGGGAACGTTGGCCGGCGACGTCTTCAGCCTGGGCATCATCATGCAGGAGGTCGTGTGCCGCAGCGCCCCCTACGCCACGCTGGAGCTGACGCCCGAGGGTACCGCCGCCTCGCGCGTGACGCTCGGGCTAGAAGGGCATCCTGCTGTTAGGCGTAGCCTGGCCAGACTCAGCCTCGCTTTTTCCCCCGAAAGCCCAGTACTGAGACTTACTTATGTGGGCCTCCCTTCAAGCTGGGGTCTGAAGGATCAGGGCAGTGGAGAGTCAAGCATCAAGGTAGGAGGGGGCAGTTCTTAGGCGCCCAGAACTCATTGGTTTTCTGTCCTGATCCTGGGCTCCAAACTGCTTCCCCAGCGGATGGAACAGGCTCCTCTCTGGCTCTTAGTGGCCCCACGGAGAGAGCAGGGTCGGGGAAAGATGGGAATAGAGCCGTTGGACATGGTTTAAATCCACATTACTTGTCATCTCTAGGATTCAGCAAGTTACTTGATCATTCATCCTAACCCTCACTTATGTTTAATAAATGGTAGTCTTTGCCTGTCGCCTCTGTCTGCCCCTTGCCCCTCAGGGTTGAATGTCCCCTTCTTGCTCCCAGCAACCCCCTTCCACACTACACTTCCCCACTTACCAAAGCTCTGATTTAAGGGACCCCCTTCCAGTCCCCCTCACCTGATCTTCACCAAGGAGGCCAGAGTCAGAGGTAGCGTCTGCCCTGGCACCGCCCCCGTCATGGTCCCCTCATGCCTCCAGAGGTGGTGCAGAGGGTGCAGAACCCCCCTCCGCTGTGTCGGCCCTCGGTTTCCGTGGACCAGGCGCCCATGGAGTGCATCCAGCTGATGAAACAGTGCTGGGCAGAGCAACTGGACCTTCGGCCCTCCATGGACCGCATCTTTGACCTGGTTAGGGGCTGGGATTGGGCAAGGGCTGGGCTGGCCCCTTGTCAGCAACCTGGGGAGGCTGCAGGAAGGCAGGCTGGCAGGATTTCTGACCCAGAAGGCTTTTTCTTAAGGGGTAGCCTGAGGACTGGGGTTTTGGTAGGGGCAGGGTTACAACAGGGCTGTAGAGGCCTTTGGAGCCAGCGAGGGAGGCCGGGGGAGGGAGGTGCGGGGAGTGGAGAAAGATTGAATTCAACTCATCATTTATTGAGAACCAAATATGTGCTTGACCTAGAGTGACAGAAAGGCCCTTGGCCTGGAAATACAAAGGCTGGATTGGTTCCAGTGGTCTGTCAATTACCAGCTGAGAACAGCTGACCTCATGGGACCCCCATTTCCTGTGTGCCTACCAATAATGTGTAAAAACACAGCGCTCAGCATCCTGGGGTGTGTGGGGAGGGGCTTAACGAATTGAAGGTGAATGGGGATGGGGGGGGTGGAGAGCCAGGCACAACACAGCCCTAGGAGAGGGCCATGGCAGCGGAGGTCCTCAGCAACCTCAGCAGCTTCCTCCTTCTGCTAGTTCAAGAGCATCAACAAGGGCCGGAAGACCAACATCATTGACTCCATGCTGCGCATGCTGGAGCAGTACTCCAGTAACCTGGAGGACCTGATACGGGAGCGCACAGAGGAGCTGGAGCTAGAAAAGCAGAAGACAGACCGGCTGCTCACGCAGATGCTGCCTCCGTGGGTGCCAATGGGGAAAGGCGGGCTGAGGAGGGCAGCTGGAATCCAGCCAGACTGGGGTGGCCTCCAGGTAACCTCACCACCTGCCATCCCTAGGTCTGTGGCTGAGGCTTTGAAGATGGGGACACCTGTGGAGCCTGAGTATTTTGAAGAGGTAACACTGTACTTTAGCGACATTGTGGGCTTCACCACCATCTCTGCCATGAGTGAACCCATCGAAGTAGTGGACCTGCTCAATGACTTATATACACTATTTGATGCCATCATCGGCTCCCACGATGTCTACAAGGTGGAGTGGACAGGGGACAAGCCTTCCCTAAGGCTCACCAGCTTCCAGCCCTGTTCAGTCCCCCACCCCCGCCCCGCCCGCCTCCCAGCCCAGTCCTCTTTCCCAGCCCTTCTGTTTCTTGGCTCTTCTGCCAGTCGCCCGCCAGCTCAGTCCACCAGCTTGAAGGCTCCCCAGGATCTCTGCAGTAAACCCAGTTTAGTTTTAAACTCTCCTGACAAGGGAAAATCACTTTGGGGGAGTGGGGTGCTCACTATTGAATTCGTACGTCTTCCCTCAGGTGGAGACAATTGGGGACGCCTATATGGTGGCCTCGGGGCTGCCCCAGCGGAACGGGCAGCGGCACGCCGCAGAGATCGCCAACATGGCCCTGGACATCCTCAGCGCCGTGGGCTCCTTCCGCATGCGCCACATGCCTGAGGTGTCCCTGCGCATCCGCATCGGCCTGCACTCGGGTAACCCCCCGCCCCGCCTCGCCCTCCCAGCCTCTGGGTCCGGCCGCCTCTCGAGAGCTCAGCTCCAAATTTCCCAGACCGGAGGCGCACTCTGGGAGCGGGGGAGTAGCGACGAAAGGGGCTTGTCCTGAAGCCACTTTGCATACCAGGCACTCCGTTGTAATTAGGGTAGTTGTGGTTAGGGTGCACTTGAGAGTGTTTTCTTTGGAGGAGTCGGTGGAGATTATGGGGTGTTAAAGTCCCCTTAGGCCCTAGGTGCCACCCAGCCTCCAGCTTCGGGCCAGGCACCTCCTTTCCACCACAGTCCCGCGTCTCCGCAGGCCCGTGCGTGGCCGGCGTGGTGGGCCTGACCATGCCGCGATACTGCCTGTTTGGGGACACCGTCAACACCGCCTCGCGCATGGAGTCCACTGGGCTGCGTGAGTGTAACGGGGTTGGAGGCGCGGGGGAAGGTGGGGCGCTGCCGCGGGGTCCCGAGGGAACGGGCGGGGAGAAGGAAGCGGGAGGTGAGTTCCGAGGTCACCCCGTCCCGTGTCGCGCAGCTTACCGTATCCACGTCAACGTGAGCACCGTGCGGATCCTCCGCACTCTAGACGAGGGCTTCCAGATTGAGATGCGAGGCCGCACGGAGCTGAAGGTGAGAATGGGCCGGCCCCCTCCTGCGCCGGGGCCGGGAAACCCAGCTCACGACGCCCGGCTAGGCCCGACCCCGGGTCTTCCCGTTTCACTTAGGCCTCCACATCCAGCCGCTTTCACGCCAGCCCGCCTAAGTCCTTCCCTCCCCTGTGTCTCCCCAGGGCAAGGGCTCCGAGGACACGTACTGGCTGGTGGGCAGACGCGGCTTCACCAAGCCCATTCCCAAACCGCCCGACCTGCAACCGGGGTAAGGAGCGGGCATCCGCAGGCCGGGCAAGTTTCAAGCAAAGGACACAGGCCGAGAGAGCCTTTCTCCCTGCCTCTGGCCCCGTGCCTGACTCTGCCTCGCCTCGCAGTAGCACGGCCTGGGCCCTGCCCTCCCAAACCTCCGTTCCCGATCCCTGAGGCTGCCGCGCTCTCCCCGCAGGACCAGCAACCACGGTATCAACCTGCAGGAGATACCCTCCGAGCGGCGCCGGAAGCTGGAGAAGGCGAGGCCGGGCCAGTTCCCCGGAAAGTGAGGCCCCGCTGGACAGGTGCTGCTCCTTGGCTCCCACACCCAGCTGCCAAGCTCCCCCAGACTCCAGGGGCTACGCACCTCTGGGAGATGCTTCCTGGAGGACGGGCGCTTTTTCTTAATCTAAGGACTAGCCCTGCCTGCAGAACTTCCCACCCAGGCCAGTTATTGTGTTTTCTCTCTGACTTGGGGGGCCCAGGCTGGCTCCTAAACCCTGAGGTTTACCCTGGGAGGAAAACCCCAGTCACACGGATTCTGGTTGGGTAGGTCTGGAGTGGTCCAGGAATTCACACTTGGGAACCCCTTTAACCATGACCTTCTGTGACCTCTCCTCCGACCCCCCCCCACTACATTAACCAGCCCCCCCACCCCCTCCCCCAAGCTGTGAACTGCACTAGAGACAGAACTCAAGGGGGCAACCTGGGAGCAGAGGACGGCCACCCCTAGTTCTGCTGGAGCAGAAGCCCTTCTGTCCTCGACCTTCCTCAAGGAACTCCGATCCATGACACCCCCCCCTTCCCAGGCGAGCCCTCACGATTCCTTCCCATGATTTCCTCTGCGACACTCCTCTTCCCCTCAGGGTTATTCCAGAAGGTCTGCTTCCTGAAAGTTGCTGCTATAGGGGACCAAAATCTGGCTGCTATCCGTGGCTTCCATCCAGCTCTTCATCAAAGGATCCTGGGCCTTCAGAAGAGCTGGTTGCAAACCAGCCGAGTGACCTTGGGAAAGATCCCCACAATCTCTGGGCTTGGCTTTCTCCTCCGCGGTGAAATGAGGAGTGGCCTAGGTGGTTGCCACGCCCCATGGCCCTGGCAGCGAGGTTTCACAACAGTCGGCCTTGGGATACGGGGCGCTGGGAAAGTGCCCTCCGGTCCCAGAGACCCTGAGACCATCAGGATGTTGGGGTGGGGGATTCTCCACTTTCCAGGGCTTCTTAAGGCACAAGGAAGGAGGATTTGGGATTGGATGCCCCAACCCTAGAGAAGGTGGAGATCTCCAGTTCCCAGAGTAAGGGTGTCACATGGCCCAAGGATGTGAGGGCTTCTGCTTAGCCTCAAGCATCAGTCCCTTCTCCATCCCCCGCCAGTCAGAAACTGGCTCCTCTATCTGTGGGCATAACCACATCACTTGCCCAAGTGCAGAGAAAATCTTGCTTCAAGGCTTTGAGGACAGGAAACAAACTGCACCAAACCTTTACTAACCAGAACACCCAAGGAGAGTAGTATTGTCTGTTTAACTGGCTGGTGCTGAGCAAGCAGTTGGAACAGAAAATCCTCTGTGCTTAGGTCTTTGCAACAAGTGTCAACCCCATCCTGGCAAGTCTCTAGCTGGTTTCTTTCGTGCAGTTCTGATGTCCCAGAGCCTGGCCTTGGCATGTTTGACTGGGTGTCCTTCCCCACTGCTACCGACCATGACAGAGGTTAGCAGCAGCTGCAGGCTCCCAAACTGCCACTGTAGGTAGTGAGTGCGCAGTCCCTGGAACTGTACAAGTAGAACTGGAGACATCTTTGACCAAGGATGTAACAGTCAGAGGAATTCCTAGGTGGGAGGATGGACTAGGTTCTCACTATGCAAAGCATGGTTGGTGGACCAGCAGCAACATCACCCTGGGGCTGGTTAGAAATGCAGAATCTCAGGCCCAGACCTAGTGACTCAGAATCTGCACTTCAACAAGTTCCTGAGTACTTATATGCACATTATAGTTTTTGAATCATGGAAGTAACTAATCCTAGGATCCCTAATGTTTCGGAATCTCTAAGATTGCATAAAAACCAGGCTAGAAACTAGCCCTGAGACTTGTTCTGATTGACCTATGGGATGATTTTGATTTTGTTTGAGTTAACATTTTAAAATCAAGAGATACCACTTTTTAAATACATACACCACACTTCTGTCTTCTCTGAAAGTTAAAGCCCAGCACAGGGGCAACTACTGACTTTCTCCTGGAGCTAAAGAGCGACTGTCCCTCTCTCTGAGGCTTCACTCTTCGGTTCTCATGGTCCCCACCACTTCCTGGGGACTCCAAGACACCAAGATTTTCTGAACATCTCTTATGCACCTGTCCAGCACCTGTAGGCATTTGAGCTCAGGACTCCTGAAGCACCTGGTGGTAAGGGTTGCAAGCACTCCTGGAAGCTGCTTTGTCTGATTCATCACATCCCTGCAATCTACAAGCTTAGCGGTCTTTCCCTCCTTCCTAAAGGTAGAAAAATCTAAATATCCAGCACTTGTAGGTTCTGGTTACTTAAGGTGGTTATGTTATATTGAGTAACTTAGTTCATTTTTTAAAAAAGCATTTTAAACAGAATATGGAATTGATGAATAAAAGATTTTGTAAATACCCTGTTGTGCACACAAAATATCTTTTTTAATTATGTATATTTTTAAACATCTCTCTTCAGATTTTCTCTGTATTTAGGTCTGGGATTGAGGGCCGACTCTACATTGCTGGTGCTGGACCAGACAGTGTGGATGTAGCGCTCACTCCCCTGCCTCTTCCCTCCCCACTCCCTCACCCCTCCACTTCCCTCCCCCCACCTGTGAGGGACCTGGGCTGGTTAATGACCTGTAATTCAGGGGAGCCTTAGGGAAGAGTCCACCTGGGGTTGCGTGCAGGGGGATTAGTGCGGATTGGTGGGGGCAGGGCATCCCCCAGGGGAGGAGGAGGGGGATGAGCCGGGGTCCAAACCTGGTTTGGGGTAGAAATGGGGCAGGCAGAGCTGAGCAGGTCCCTTCCCACCTCAACTCAGGCCTCCCGCCTCAAGTGAGCAGATGTGACTGGGGAGGAGCTGGTAGAGGAGAATCCTGTCCTCTTCCCCAGGCAGGACAATTTGGGGACCACCCACCCCCAAGCTCGCAGGGCTAGTGGGAAAAGAGGAAGGGAAAATTAAGCCTCTGTCTCCTCTCTGCCCTTCCTTTGTCCCTCCCCCTCTCAGTCTCCCTGTCTCTCTGCCTCCAGTCTCCTCTTCCTCTGTCCCCAGTGTCCTCTCTCTGCCTGGCAGTATCTCCCTGTCTTTCTCTGCAGTCACCCCACTTCTGTGGACTCATTTTTCCTGGGCCTAGTCAATACCCTCAAGCTCTGCTGCCCTCTGATTCAAGACCTCTCCACCTTCTCCCTCCTGTTATTCCTGGAACCCGGGCAACTCTTAGCCCAGAGAGCACCTGGCTAGGGCTTAAGCACTCCCCACCTTCAGATGTGTTTCCACTACCTCTGCCAGCTGGCCTGTGCCAGGACACTTGGAACTGTCCTCGTCTTTGCAATGGCTCTGTAACCAGGACTAGTGGTGGTCAAACCAGGGACCTCCCGCAGCTGCTGCTTTAATCCTGTAGCTCGGACTCCACATCACGTCCTGAGACTCACCTGGCAGCTTTTCTCTGTGCTGCTCCTGAGGGCCTGGGCCCTGCTCCCCACCCCCACCTCCAGCGGACGCCGGGCACCCCCCTTTGAGGGATCCTGATGCTGTGTTACAGGGCTTTGTTCCCTGGGATCTTCTGGGCTGTGCACTGTGGGCACCAGGCCAAGTGCCGTGGTGCTGGGTCCTGGAGGTGGGCGGGGACAGAAATAAAGGTGTGCCTCCTTCCATTTCATGTCATGTGGTCCTTTGGCCTGGATGGTTTGAACATTCCGGGGACGTTCATGCCGGGGCACGTCCAGGCACAGCAGGGTTCCCTTGGATGGGGGAGGGAAGCCCTCGGAGGGGGATACGCACAGGACAAGCTGGACGGGGAGTGGGAATGTTTGGGGGTCAGGGGGCTGCAGGTTCTGGGAGGTCCTGTTTTCACAGTAAAGTAGGACGTGAGGTCATCTTCAGAGCATTGCAGGGGAGGAAGGAGCCCTACTTTAGTAGGTGCTTCCTATGTGCCAGAAACTGCACTAAGAATGTTATTTGTGCAAGTTCATTTAATGCCCTCAACTACCTTATGAGTCAGATACTATTATAACTTCACTTTACAGATGATAATACTGAGGCTCAGAAAGGTAGTATTACCTGCTTGTACCCCATCCCTGGAATGTTCAAACCTGGCATTGGTAGGGAGGGTTTCAGGTTGTGGGGAGCCCTAGATAGAACCTCAGCAGGGGAAGGCGAGCTGCGGCCAGCAAGCCCCGAGGAACTCCTCTGCCTAGGAGGTCTGCTCCAAGGGGACCAAGCAGGGAAGCCTCAAGCCATTTAGGCTCCAGGAAAAAATCAAGGTCTCTGAGGCTCTTGCACATGTGTGGCGTGGCCTCACCCCCTTGCTCATAGGCAAGAAAGAGGAAGAAAGAGAAGGGCAGAGCTTATCTATGGCCATGACCCATGACCCATGGAAGCCAGAGGTCAAGACTGAAGGAGCAGAACCCCCAGGTGAAGAAGTTGAGGTCCACTGGTCTCTGGACCCACATGCTACTTCTGACCCCTCAAGAGCCTGCCACTGGGGCATTAGAGCAGGACAGACCATCCCAAAGCCACCAGTGTGTGACCGGCTGATTAGTTAGCCAATTTCTTTGAGCGCGGCTGTCCCTGCCTCAGGCCCAGTGTTTTTGGCATGATGACGACTCATAACGGACCGTGGCTGCTCTGCCTTTCCAGCACCCCTCCTGCTCCACAGTGGGCAAGCACCCCCGCCTCATTCTCGGTCCCTGTGGGACTGGGCGGGACTGAGCCCAGACTTTTCCAATCTCTCCACCCCTTTGGCTGCAGGGATTGCTTCAAGGAGAGGGAGGTGACCTGGACCAGGGAAAAGAGGCTCAGGGCTGAAGAGCTGCTGGAAGCCAAGTGGAAAATGTGCCTTGGTTCTCTGGGGTTGCTGAGAGGATGGGACACGGAGCGGTCTTGCACCCCAAAGACAAGGAGCAAACGGACAGGCGGGCAGAGCCAGTCTGCTGCCGCTGTTTAAGCCTCTCCAGCTCTCTGGGCCTAAAGCCAGATCCGGCTCTTGAGTACCATGGGCTAGCAAGGGGTTTCTTTGCTTAGGCTTCATCAAAGTGAGTATCTTTGCTCTTTGTAGTCACGATTGTCCTGATAG